CTTCTGATCCAACAGCAGTGCTTCTTAGAGAAAAGATTCAAGAAATGGAGATAATATGTGAAGAAGGAAGTCGATTGCCAGACTGTTTGGTCATTGATGACCCATTAGCTTCACTAGTTGAATTGCCAACATCAGAGTTACAAGGCAGTGAGGGTGTTAAAGCAAATATTTTGGCGTGCTTGAGGGGGGGAGAGGTGACAAAGCTTGGAGTTTGGGGGATGGGGGGAGTCGGGAAAACAACAATAATGATGCATGTCCACAATGAACTACTGAAGGAAGGTAAATTCAAGAAAGTAATTTGGGTAACCGTTTCACAAAACTTTGATATCTACAACCTGCAAGAACAAATTGCTTGCAGCTTGTGCAGCTTGGAGGAGAAAAAATTGCTAGAGTATCAAAATACAACTGTTCGTGCAGGAATGTTATTAAAGATGCTAAAAGAAGACAAACACAAGCCTTACTTGCTGATTTTTGACGATGTGTGGAAGATTTTTGACCTTAATGAAGTTGGAATTCCTGGGCCAGATGTAGTTGATGGTAGCAAGTTAGTATTGACCTCACGGTCACAAGAGGTTACTCGTTCAATGGGTTGTAGAAGACTCAAAGTGGAGACTCTTTCACAAGAGGAAGCTTTAAAATTGTTTTTAAATAAAGTTGGAGATACTGGTTTACTAGATCATGGGGGAGGCATTAAAAATGATTTAGAATCAACTTTGAAGGGGATTGTGGCTGAATGTGATGGTCTTCCGTTGGCAATTGTTACAGTTGCTGGCAGCTTAAAAGAAATATCTGAGCCACAGTTATGGGGTGCTGCACTGAATCAATTGAGAGATTGCAAAAGAAACGTGGCAGGTACAGATGATGATAATGCATTTAAGATATTAAAGTTCAGTTATGATCGTTTGACGAACCTAAAGATCCAATATTGTTTCTTATACTGTGCACTGTATCCTGAGGATTACAAGATTCTAAAGGAGGAAATAATTGAAAACTGGATTGATGAGGGGTTTATAGAGGATATGGAAACTCGGCATGCAATGAAGGATGAGGGTTATGATATTTTGAGGAAGCTTGAAGACAATAGCTTGTTGGAAGTCATTAAAGATGGACGTAAAGGAGATTGTGTGAGGATGCATGATCTTATTAGGGACATGGCCTTAGACATTACAAGAATGAGGCCTCGGTTCTTGGTAGAAGCTGGCAAGGCATTGAAAGAGCTACCAGAGAGGCTAAATTGTGCAGAAGGTGTTGAAACGGTTTCATTAATGCATAATTATATTGAAGAAATTCCATCGAGCTTGGCATTTTCAACATGCATAAGGCTCACAACCTTACTGTTGGCCCATAACAAATTGTCAACAATTCCAGAATTTGTCTTTGAGCACATGCCAGAGCTAAAAGTTCTTGATCTCTCCTTCAATCTGTGGTTAAGTAGCTTGCCAAATTCTGTCTCCAAATTGGTGAAGCTTACTACATTGTTGTTAGAATCAACATCCCTAGAAAAGGTACCATCTTTATCAGGCCTTGGATCCTTGAAAAAGTTAAACCTTAGGGGGACAAAAATCAAAGAAGTCCCTGAAGGCCTGGGAATGTTGAAGAATTTGAAATGTCTTTTTCTTTGTGGATCAAATCCTTCTGATATTCTTGAAATAGATGAAATAGCAGATGGAGTATTATCAAATCTCTCCAAACTTCAAGAGTTAATTGTAGATAACAGCAGAATAAAATTGAAGGGTAATGTAGTTGGGAGATTGAAGAAGTTGGAAGTTTTGCATGGCTGGTTCCCCACTGCAAATGAAATGAGAATCTTTCTCAAATGTCAGCCTAATAGGCTGAGTGACTATTTTATTAATGTTGGAAGCAATTCGAATGTGACTTATACTGTTACAGCAGAGTTACGAAGATATAAGAAAATAATGGTGTTCGAGGAGACTAGTATTGTTGGAGAGAATATGTTACTTCCCTCCGTACAAGTATTATGTATTGAAGCTTGCCACGACATCAGAAGCTTAAATGATTTTTCTGGAATCAAAGATGCAACAGATTTGAGGGAATGTTGGATTTGGAACTGTGATGGCATGGAGTGTGTTCTTTCCTCGTGGATAAACAACCCAGTCGTCCAAACCCTTGAGTATCTGCTTCTTTATAATTTGCACAAATTGGATGGGCTGTTTGAAGCAAACGTCAGGGTGACATCATCACCTCCACTTGGGGCTTTTTCATCTCTCAAAGTAGTTTGGATTGTGGAATGCAAAAAAATAAAGAAGTTGTTTCCATCTTGGAAGTTGGCAGAATATCTCCAAAGTCTTGAAAAAATCTACGTCTACGGATGTGATGGAATGGAAGAAATAATAGGATCAGATCCAGAAGAAGGAGAAGAAGGAGGGGACGTCATCAAGGAGCTCATTCTTCCAAAATTAAAAGAATTAAAATTGTGGAAATTGCCCGCATTGAAGAGCATATGTAGTAGGGGGGCAGTAATGGTATGTGATTCTCTTGGATCTATTACCATTAGTAATTGCAAGGGCCTAAGGAAGATCCCTCTTTATCTTCCCCTGCTTGATAATGCCCAACCATCTCCTCCTCCTTCCCTCATGATAATCAACATATATCGAGGAGAACAGGAATGGTGGGAATCGTTGGAGTGGGACCATTCCAATGCAAAGGAGGTCCTTCAACCCATGGTTCAATTTTATTAATCCATACGTGATTCCATCATCGGAGTCCGAAAAGTCCAAATCGGGGGAATATGCAGAAGATTGAAAGGTGAGAATCAATTTGCACATTTTAATTTAGGTATGACTCTCTGCAAATCTTCGTTCTACCATTCATTTCCAACAAATTGAAGAATTTTTTATGAATGAAAATGCATTTATATAAATTCCCTAAAAAAAACCGTATAGTAGTGCTTATATATAATTTCCCTTCCCCATGATTTTCAAGTAATGAATTTTTCTTTCTGTTTTTTGAATGGATCAGGAAGCCAATTCATTCAACCAGTCTATTGCTTTTCGTTCCAGGCTTCGAAGGATGTCCTTTCTACTATTGTGTGGATTGTTTTAGTGTGATTCTTGTGTTTTCATACTGTGTGAATTAGTTGTGTTGAAAACTGGTTTAGAACACCATCTGTACTCTTATATATTTTGCTGTATTGTTATATATCTTGGTTGTACCATGTACATACATAAATGTGTTTTCAATCTAATATTTGATGAATTAGCTGGAGAGAAAGCAGGAATTCCAACCCACAACAATCAAATCACTAATTTATTGATTCTCTTGTTCCTCTTCTCTTTTGTTTTGTGATAGCTCCTTGTTCAACAGCACAGACCTACAGATGAAAAGGATGCAAATGTTGGCTTCTAATGGTTTAGACAAACTTTGCAAGCCAAGGCATAAAGGTGGAGGACTCTCTCTCTTTCTATATATGCTTTCCTTTTTTCGAGAACAATGTTTATATATGTGTGTGTTGTTTAAATCTTTCATTCTCTCTAACTGGCAGAGAAGCGGTTATGGTGATGGGGGGACACAAGACCAAGAAGAAGTCGTCTGTAACACTTCATCTCCACCATCACTGACTCCTTTAATCAATTTGGACGAGGTTTTTTCTCCAACAGTTCATCTCACTTCTGATTACTATTCGGTCTAAAGTTTTGATTAATATAATATCATCACCATTACAAAAATGGGTGTCTCTGTAAATCATCTTATCAGTCATTCAGTACCAAAAGGTCAAAAAGAAAAAATCATTAATGAAAATGCACATATTGTTTTATTTATTTATTTATTTTTGTTAAGTGTAATGCTTTCCTGGTGATTGCTTACTATTGAACTGCAAAATGAGACAATGGGTAGAATAAATTGATGGAATTTGCCAATATTTTTTTGTATTTAATTGTGTCAGGAAGTAGAGAAATTAACATATATCTTCTCAGGCTTTTCAAGAGATTTGGATACTGCTCAAAACATGGAATTCACTATATATTCTGGCTTTTAATTGTGTTGATGTTCAGATCGTATATTTATTATATGAATCATGCATGGATTTGAAATAAAAAGGATTCTGCATAATTATTCAGCTCAAGTATGCATGATTTTCACATGTCAGTTTCTATAAACACCTCTTTTTCTTTTTTTTTTTCCTTTTTTGTTTTTACCAAAATGAACTATAAAATCACTCAGGTATTTTATAATTTATTAAGCATTAGGCATTCAAAGTAGACCGGGCTTTTCATGAAAACACTTCTAGTTTTAATCCAGCAAAGGTGATGTTCTTCCAGCTGACAAGGTAGGACTCAAATGAGTAGTGATGGTAGCTCTTACATTTTTTATGGTTTTGGTGCAATATTTTGAATTTTGCTTACTCATGTTTGGTATCATGTTGAATGTGATTATTCTTTACGTTTCTAAGGTCCAAAGACATTAAATGAGTTTTGATTCTGCAGTTTTCCATACATCATGATTTTTTAAATCACATTACATCTTTGCTATTTTCCATTACTTGTACACTCAGGCTTAATCTTTTCTTTTTTTAATTTCATTTTTTTCCAATGAAATTAACAAGAAATGTGCATCAAATATCTCATTGCAATCACTATTAAATTGCTCCATCCAATGCAAATGATGGTGCATGCCTTTTCTTTTGTCTTGTTTCTAAACCACTTTTCCCACAGTCAAATAGATTTTGAAGTTATATATGTTTATTAATTTTCAATGCAGTTTGATAGCCATGATGTAGTTGTATTAAAAGTTAAAACCAAAGAAAGCTGATTAGGAGTCTCTTGCTCTTTGGCAAACTGTGGTTTTTGGGCTAAAGATAATTGAGACTTGTAAAAGAAACTGTGGCTTATTACATTGTTGATTTTGTTGTTAAACTGATAGGAACAGATACTACACCTTTCATTATTGATTTTGTTGTTTCTAGTTATGTATGATTCTCCTGAAGTCTTTTGTTGCTGACTTCTTGTGCACATTGAACAGGATGAGATCCCAGAAGAAGGTTTAGATGGTCCCTTTCATGTAGAAAAAGTGGAGAATGTGGCAGCATTTGTGTTGGCCAAAACAAAAGGTGGGATCTACTAGAATTCTTCAATCAATTTTTTGCTTCATATTAGCTTTAACTGGTACATAATATGGAAAGCAGTTCTCTTGCACTGTATGTATTTATGCAAGCTTGAATTATGCTTAATGTATCACAGAATGGTGGAATGGCTTTTCAGTTCTTTATTCTTTGAAAAGTTTTGAGTGTAGACCTTAGGAATCATATACAATAATACAAGTTTGACCCTAATTCATTCTACCAAAATGGAACATTGAATCACTCAGGTATCTTATAATTTACTTTGTGTTTGGTTTTCAAAGTGGACACGGCTACTGGGGAAAACACTTCTTGAGTTTCATCCACCAAAGGAGAAGTTCTTCCAGAACACAAAGGTAAGGACTCAAATAAATAGCGATGGGAGCTCTTGAAGTTTTGCTGGTTTAGGTGCAATATTTGGACTTTTCCTTATGTGCTATTAGCATATTGGCTTTAATTGGTACCAGAGGTAGACGAAGGTCCCTTCTATTAATGTGCTTAAGGGAGCTTGAGTTCTGCTTGTTGCATCACATAATGTTTATCAGTGCGGTATTTTATACATAAAGTTCAAAATGTGGACCTTATGAATCTTATGCAAGTCATACTTTAATTCATATACACTGTCACACCTTAACAAGCATGAATGTAATTTAACTAGCACAGAAGTTTAAAAAATATGAGGACCATACTTCCTAACTTGATATTGATTCTGTAACCAAATTTTATTAAGCTTTTCTTATTTCAGCTCTTAAATTTATTAAATGTACATGATTAATCTGCTTCAGATGTGATGTGGCATGAAAGAAGTATGACAAGAAGACAGCACAGATCAAAAGAAGGTGAAGCTGAGATTGATATTTCTCTTGCAAAGAGACGAGTCCAAGCTTCTGATAGTGGAATTATTACATTACCCCATATTCTGTGCAGGTACTAAAGAGTATATTGTGCTCTAGCTAGTCAGTTATCTTTCCTTGTTCTACTTCCATTCCCTTCAGGAATTGACCAATGCATGGATGGTTTGTTCTTTTAAATTTCAATTATTTTTCAGGTTGTCTTACTAAAGATGTTGCAATGCAATAAGGACAGTCCAAAGTATGTGGAAATCTCAACTTCTGATGGCTTCCAAGGTCAAGAGAAAGAAGCCACTATTATTTCCATTTTTTGGTCAAACTATGCCAAAGAGGTAGTCTAAGCTACCGTTCTAACTCTTTTTTCCTTTGGTAGAGCTCTAAATTGGAAATAAAACTGTATCATTTTGAATATGTTTAGTTGGGGTTTTCAAGTGATCATGGATGAATATGAATGGGGCTGAAACACAAGCAAGAAGAAATTGTTGCCCAGTTTGTGACACTGAAACAATAAGTGATGGATTCTTAAAATGATTCGTTGAGTACTTGAAAGAGCATGGGGAGTATATAAGTGGCTCAAAATACAACATGAACAAGTAAAGATCGTGATGGGATAAGATTCTTTGTCCCCAAGGGCATTTCAGTTA